AGTGTTGTTTTGATTTACATTTCTTTTATGGCTAGAGAGGTTGAGCATTTCTTCATGTGTCTATTGGCCATCCTTCTTTCCTCTTCAGAGAAGTTTCTTTTTAAGTCTTTAGCTCACTTGTTTATTGGGCAGTTGTTTCTTTGAGGATTTGTCGTTGGGGGATTTAATTTTTTGAGTTCCAAGTATATTTTAGATATGAGACCCTTGTCTGTTGTATGGCTAGTGAAGATCTTCTCCCAATCCATGGGCTTTCTATTGATCTTGCTAGCTATGTCTTTTGCCATGAAGAAGCTCTGCAGCTTCATGCAATCCCATTTGTCCAAACTTTCTTTGATTGGTTGTGTTTTTGGGTCTCTATTAAGAAACTTTCAGCCTGTGCCAAGGAAACCTAGGGTTTTCCTATCCTGTAATATTTTCAGGGTGTCTGCATTAACTCCGATGTCTCTGATCCATTTGGAGTTGATTCTGGTACAGGGTGATATATAAGGATCTATCTTTAGTTTTCTACAAGTAGTTAACCAATTTTGCCAGCACTATTTACTGAAGAGGCTGTCTTTCTTCCATTCTATTGTTTAGCTCCCTTATTGAAGATTAGGTGGTTATAGGTCTGTGGATTCATTTCTGGGTTTTCAATTCTGTTCCATTGGTCCTGAGGTCTGTTCTTGTGCCAGTACCAAGCTGTTTTGATTACTATGGCTTTGTAGTAGAGTTGAAATTTGATATTGATATTCCTCCAGCACTGTTCTTTCTGTTAAGGTTCGCTTTTGCTATTTGGGGTCTTTTATTGTTCCATATGAATTTTTGGATTGCCTCTTCTATTTCCTTGATGAATGAGGTTAGGACATTGATGGGTATTGTATTGAATTTTTAGACAGCCTTGGGAAGTATTGCCATTTTCATGGTGTTCGTCCTTCCAGTCCAGGAGCTTGGAAGTTTTTTTCCACATCTTTAGTTCTGCTTAAATTTCCTTTTTCAGGTTTTTCACGTTTTCATCATAGAGGTCCTTCACTTCTTTGGTTCAATTAGTTCCTAGGTATTTTATTTTTTGTGGGGCTATTATGAATGGAGTTGCTTTCCTGATTTCAGCAGCCCTCTTCTCATTGTTGGTATAGAGAAAAGCCATTGATTTTTTTAATTGTGAAAATACTGTACAGAGGGGTTACAATTACATGAGCAAGGTAATGAGTACATTTCTTATCAAGCATTGTTGCCTCCTTCTTTATTTCCCCTCCCTTCCCTTCCCATCTTCTCCCCTACTTGCCTGCCTCCACCAAAGTTTAAAGTTCATTTTTCGACATAACGTCTTGTACATCTCATTGTTGCAATGTACTCCCTCCTCCATGGTATAACCTGTTTTCACTGTATTTGATGTTGGGAAGGGAAAAAAGAAATTGTTCGAATAGGGATACAGGTGGGCCCATTGCAACAATGAGCCATTGATTTTTGAGGGTTAATTTTATAGCCTGCTTCTTTGCCAAAGTTTTGAATCAGCTCGAGTAATTTGGGAGTGGAGTCCATGGGGTTCTTTAAATACAAGATCATGTCATCTGCAAAGAGGGAGAGTTTTACTTCATCTTTCCCTATTTGGATCACTTTTATGTCTGCATCTTGACTTATTATTGTAGCTAGGCACTCTAATACTTGATTGAAGAGAAGTGGAGAAAGTGGACATTCTTGTCTCATTCCTGAGTTTAGCGGAAATGGCTTTAGTTTTTCACCATTAAGTATAATGCTGGCTGTATGTTTGTCATATACAGCCTTTATTAAATTGAGGAATATTTCATGGATTCCTAACTTTTCCAGAGCCTTCATCATAAAGGGGTATTGGGACTTGTCAAATATTTTTTCTGCATCTATTGAGATAATCATGTGGTTCTTATCCTTGCTCTTGTTGATGTGATGGATGAATTATATTAATTGATTTGCATATATTGAACCAGTTTTGCATCCCTGAAATGAATCCTGTTTGATTGTGGTGTATGATTTTTTGGATGCATTGTTGAAGTCGATTGGCCAGAATTTTGTTGAGAAGCTTTGCATGAATGTTCATCAAAGAAATGGGTCTATAGTTCTCTTTCTTTGATGAGTCCCTGCCTGGTTTTGGGGTGAGGATTATGATGGCTTCATAGAAAGAGTTCGACAGTGAACTTTCTCTTTCAATTTCATTGAAGAGTTGGAGGAGTATTGGTGTGAACTCTGCTTTGAAGGCCTTGTAGAATTCTGCTGTAAAGCTTCTGGTCCTGGGCTTTTCTTAGAAGTGAGGTCTCTTACTGTTGTTTCTATTTCAATGCTTGATATGGGCCTATTGAGTTGGTTTAACTCATCTTGGTTTAGTTTCAGCATGTCGATATTTGCTGGTAAATTGTCCATTTTTTCCAGGCTCTCAAACCTATTAGCATAAAGATTTTAGAAGTATTCCCTTATAATGGTCTGAATCTTGTTTTTTTCTGTGGTGATATTTCTTTTCTCATCTCTGAGTTTATTTGGGTGTGTTCTCTTCTTTTTCTGAAAAGATTTGCTAAGAGTCTGTCAACTTTGTTATTTTTTTTTTGAAGAACCACCTCTTTGTTTTGTTGATTCCTTCTATGGTTTTTATCATTTAGTTCTGACTTAATTTTAATTATTTCTTTCTGTCTAATGGATTGAGGTTTATCTTGCTGCTCTTTTTCAAGG